AAAAAAAAAAAAAAGAAAAAGAAAAAAAAATGGTTAAGATGGTAAATTTTATGTTATGTGTATTTTACCACACACACACACACACACACAATCTGGAAAAAACCCAGAAAACAAAACCAAACAGTAACGTCCGATTGTTTCATAACATCCTTTCTACCACAGGAGCTATTTACTCAAACTCTAAAACCAAATCCAACGAAGAGGCAAGCATATAGACTCCTGAGAGAGTAGAGGGATCTTAGAAGTTTCTAACTTCTCTTCTGTTCGTTAAAAGACAAATGGTGGTATATGTGAGGAAATGAACTTATATCCTGGGTTTAAAAACCCTGTTACAGGGATTCCCTGGTGGCACAGTGGTTAAGAATCTGCCTGCCAGTGCAGGGGACATGGGTCCGGGAAGATCCCACATGCCACAGAGCAACTAAGCCCATGCGCCACAACTACTGCGCCTGCGCTCTAGAGCCCGCAAGCCACAACTACTGAAGCCCGCACGCCTAGAGCCGGTGCTCCACAAGAAGAGAAGCCACCGCAATAAGAAGCCCGCGCGCACGGCAACAAAGAGTAGCCCCTGCTTGCCACAACTAGAGAAGTCTTGTGTGCAGCAACCAAGACCCAACGCAGCCAAAAATAAATAAGTTTATTAAAAAAAAATAAGTTACACTCTCTTTTAGAAAAGGCAAGACACACGCCTGTGCACTTGACATCTTATGTGTATTTTTATGGCATAATTGGCAATATTTCCCCCAGAAACTGGGGAAAAATACACAGGGCTTGGAGCACTAGCACGTCACTTTAATTGAAACAAAAACAACTTTAAAAAATATTTTAAAGATACTCTTGCTCTCATGAAGTTTCTTTTGCTTAAGGAAAAAGAAACGGGGGAGAAAACAGCCCACAGACAATAGTCCTCTTATTAGTGTAAAAGCTACATACCTAGTCTTTGTTTTAAAAAGACTCCTGAGAAATTGTTTCCTAGAAGGGATACTGCACCCCTAAACATTCTTTAGGGCATTCCACCAGACCATTCTTCCAAATGCCACCATTGTGCCTTGACTGAAATTTTTCACTAAAATATATTAGAATAAGTCAGGCAGATTTTCCAGTTATACAGATTTTTAAATTTCATGTTAGCAACTTGATATTTCTTCATCTTATCAGTCAGCAATCTCTGAAGAAATGTCATGCCCACCAATGCTAAACTGTTCAGGATTATGGGAGGGAGAAATGTGATTTACTACTAACTCAGAACATAAGTGTGTTAAATGAAAAGAGCACTTAAACACAAAGCACCTCTATCGTGTGGACACCTTGCTCTCGATTTCCTTCTCCCTCTTAAAAATCATAATGCACTCATTGGCCTGCAATGTATTTTCTAACTCCCACCATTAGATTTCCCTTTTACAATTTATACCACAATTTTGTCTTATTAGCCATTTACACTGCTGGGAAAACAACTTCCATGGCTTACAATGAGCTAATTCTTATCACTTCCTGTCTCACACAATTATTTCTCCAAAAATGAAAACAAATTTTTTGAATCTGTATATTATGTTGTCTTACACCTTACAACTTCAGGGGAGGTCAAGTCTCTTTTATGTATTTCCCCCCAACTCTTGTGGTCTTAATATCTCAACCTGACCCGGAGAAAAGCTTTATTTTCTGTTTCACACCAAACAGTCACAGGCCTATCTCTCCTATCTACTGACTGGGGGAGAAGGCTGCCAGATATTTATGGTAATGCCAAATTACAACAGTCACATTTCCTGCCATGGGGAACGGACTATTTGTGGGAAAAAAAAATGATTTCCTTAATTTCTTAAAGAGATTTATAAGTACTAAAGTCAACTGCAGACATCTCAACACTCTCTTCCACCAACACTGACCTTGCATCTTTTTAACCAGCTCATCGTCAAAAACACATTTCAGCAGAATAGCTGTCAGTCCAGAGAACGTGAAGCTTGATAACAGTGCCTTGAATTCAGAACTTTTCAAAATATTTCAGAACTGCCTGGACTGGGTTGGTGATTCAGCCTTGGTGAATTAGTACAGACTCATCACATGTCACCAGCAGGCTAAACCATCCCCTTGTGAGATAGCACTCTTGCTCAAGGGGTCAGCAGGACCACCTAACTCAACCTGGAGCCCGAGATGGGGGTCTCACCTCGGGCCAAGACCGTAACGCTTTTTAGGCTCTGGACCGGGTTCACTGCCAGACTTGTGGTCCAAGGCCTTACTTGTAGACGGGGGTAGGTACGTGGTAGGAAAAGACTGGGTGTGTTTCCTCCTGGTACCACCTCCTAACTTGCTTTGCCTCCTGAGGATCCTAAATGTGGTTTTCCCTGGTGGGCTTCAGAGCTCTAGGAGGAAGCAACCACCCGAAGGCCACAGGAGGGAGGCTCGGGGGAATCCTCCTGGGGTCCGAGGGGGCACCCCTGCCTCTCCTGGGGGGCAGACCCCACTTCTGGCGGGATCGGGTAGAGGAAGTAGAGCCCAACCTCCGGAGGGAGGTGAGGAAGACCTCAGGCGCGGAGAGACTGGGGAGCCCCAGCGCCGCCCTTGAGCCTTCCGGCCCGGGGCAGGCCCAGTCAGTGCCCGGACACTGCCGCCAGCACACCTGAGCCGCGCCCGGCCCCGCGGACAGTCACCGCGACCCCGCCCGGCCCCGCCGCCTCTCCGCAAGGGCGCCAGCCCGCGGGGTCCCGGCCCACCGCCCCCAGCCCGGCCCGGCCGCCTGGTCCCACAGTACCTGGCCGGCAGCGGCTACGGCAGTAGCGGCGCTGATCCTCACGTACCCGTTGCGCACCTCCCCGTTCGCCACGCAGTCGTTCGCCCGCAGCGGGCGACGGCAGCAGCACCCTCCGGGCTCCGTCCGCATCGTCCCGGCAGCACTAGGCGCAAGGCAGGATCCGTAAGCGGCGGCCGAGGATGCAGCGGCTCCAAGTCCCGCACCGCACCCCTCCAACCTCCCCGAAACCGGAAATGGCTGCACGCCGCCGCCAATTCCCTGCCGGGCCGTCACATGGGGGCGGGACCCACTCCCCCACGAAGCAGCGGCTAGCCGTAGGCTGGGCCCGGGAGCTGGAGACCAGGCGGGGCGCGCAGGAGTGTCGTGAGCCTGAGGCCTGCTGACCAATCTGGAGGAGGAGGAGGCGGACCCCAGGCTCCTACCTGGCCAATCACGGGATGGAATAAAACGGCCCGCGGGTGTCAAGGGGGTTTTCTGAAGCGACCTTTGGACCTGGGACCAGGTCTCTAGAGCGGGTTCCTTCTCTGGACAGGTGGCACCCTCTCTGCCCTTGCCTCCCGGGAAGTTCTCGGGTTTGAATCCCAGCCCTTAATTTAATTAGCTAATTCTTTTGTGGGTTTTTATAGTAAGCCTTTTCCGACATTACCTCACCATTCTTCAATCTGCATCATACATTAACACATTTTAAGTAATGATTCGGGTGTCTCTTTGCCCTTCACATCTGTCCCTATCAGGGTTTTCTGTACAACTTCCTTTTAAGAACACTTCCTTGAAAAACAAGAAACCTGGTCTTGTTCCAGCTCTGCCAGTAAACAGAGTAAAACTCTGCTAAACCTTGAGTGCTTAACCACTTTAGGAGCCAAATTCTTTAAAATGGAGTTAATACTTCCTGCTTCATAGACTCATTGCAAGAATTACATTAATAAGCCATTTTTCACCTATCACAATACCTGGCTCATATTAGAAGCATAATGTATACATATTATTTTTCATCTCTTTAGCTCTATATTCCCATAGTTATTAGAAAGAGAAGAAATGGATCTGCATCCTAGCAAGAAACTTTTGGTTACCCATAAAGAATTTAGTGTCAGGGCTTCCCTGGTGGCGCAGTGGTTGAGAGTCCGCCTGCCGATGCAGGGGACACGGGTTCGTGCCCCGGTCCGGGAGGATCCCACATGGATCGGCTGGGCCGGTGAGCCATGGCCACTGCACCTGAGCCTCCGGAGCCTGTGCTCCGCAACGGGAGAGGCCACAACAGTGAGAGGCCCGCGTACCGAAAAAAAAAAAAAAAAAAAAGAATTTAGTGTCATGTTTAAGAGTATGGACTCTGGAGTCAGTCTGGGTTTGAATACTGGCTGTGCCACTTACTACCTGAGTGACCTCTATATGTCTTCAGCTGTTCAGGGGTGATAATAATAAAGGTCCTGAGGATTTAATGAGTTATTACATGTAGTGTATTTTGTACAGGACCTGGCAATTAGTATACATTACTAAGTGTTGGTTATTATTAATTGCTGAATGCGTCCATGCCCCTGCATTCTTCCCCCACCCCCTAGGAGCTTTAGAAAGGGGGTTGACAGTTTATCCATTTTTCATGATTTAGAAGCTGAATAATCTAACAGCAGGTAGGCAGCACAGCTATACTCTTGGAGTCAACAAACACTATGATCCCAAAGAGTGCAGTTTTGCAATAGATATATGACGCTAAAAATGAAGCATATGGTTTGCCTCTCACATTCTATGAGAGAAAAGATGTACATATATAAAGTAAACAATACGGGAGATCAGCTTGGTGCTTTGTGACCACCTAGAGGAGTGGGATAGGGAGGGTGGGAGGGAGACCCAAGAGGGAGGAGATACGGGGAGGTATGTATATGTATAGCTGATTCGCTTTGTTATAAAGCAGAAACTAACACACCACTGTAAAGCAATTATACTCCAATAAAAATGTTTAAATAAATAAAGTAAACAACAATAAAAGGCTGACCAAAGGCTGGAGTGATTAGGCAACAGGAGTTCTGATGAGGAAGGCTGGTTGACAGTGACAAGTCTAGACTTTCTATACAGGAAGTTTTCAGGGCAGGAATCTGGTTGGAAGCAGGGGTAACAGATTTAACTGGGGCTTAGACAGTGGGCTGAATGAAGCTAGAGAAGGCCTGGGAGGAAGATGTGGAATGAGCTTGATCTTGAAGGATGAGCAGTATTCGGAGAGCTGGAAATGAGAAGGAAGGGGCGGGTGATCCTGGGAGAGGGAACCTTTGGAAGCTTAGGTATAGAGGCTGGAAACAGCAATGCCTTACTGGAGAGTAAGAGTTAAGAAGCCTGGCTAGATTAAGGAATCCTGCTAGGCAATCCCTCCCTCCAGAGGGTAGGACATCAGGGCCTTGTCTTGTTCTACCACTTACTCACCATGTCTTGTACAAGTCATGCAACATCAACCTTGGCTTCCTCACCCATCTTACGAAGTTAATACCTGTACTACTTACCTCACAAAGTTTTTGTGAACATGAATGATATAATACATAAATGATCTGATGATCTTGCACACCATTGCTAAATCACAAAAGGGGTGCCTTAGAAGGCAGTAGGAAACACCCCAGACTCCATGTACACAGGAAAACAACTCCTCCCAGAGGCATAAGCTGCCTTATCATCATTTTACTGAGTTCATGTGCAAAGTTCTGTGCAAGGCACCAGGCTTACAATTCTTCTCTTCCTCCAAGATTGCTCAAACCTCTTCAGCTGTGAAACCTTTCTTGAACTCCAACCTCTAGGCAAAATCAGTCACTTTCTTCTCTGTGAACTTTATACACACCTGTGTAGGCATATGTCACATTGCTTTGGGATTCTTTATTTTGAGAGGGAGGTTACACAGTGATTAGAAGCAAGAGCTCTGTAGTCAGACAGGATTGGAGCCCCATCTCCAGCACTTAGAAGCTTTATGACTTTGGCAAAGCTGCCTAACCTCTCGGTGACTCAGTTCCTTCACCTATAAATTGGGACATATCTCATAGAATTATGAGAATTAAGTAAGAAAAGCATTTAGTACCAGGGCCTGTCACATAATATTCAATAAGTGCTGGCGATGATTAGTTCATTAGAATAAATGAACTACTTGCTAAATGAATGAATGATTGAAGACATTAACATCCCAACTAGACAGAGAGCAGGCTCCGTGAATTCAGGGGATTGTCTAATTCCTCTTGGTGTTCTTAGCACCTACCATAGTGCCTGAAACATAGTAAGTGCCCAATAAATGTTTGATCAGTGAATAAATGGATGAATGAATGAAAATCCGACCCTGCCTCCAAGGAGCCTTCTATCACATGGAGACTGTGAATTGAATTAAGGTTGTTTTGATTGCAAATAAGCCAATATTAGAAAACTTAATCAAGAAAGTTATATTGTATACACTACCAAATGTAAAATAGATAGCTAGTGGGAAGCAGCAGCATAGCACAGGGAGATCAGCTCTGTGCTTTGTGACCACCTAGAGGGGTGGGATAGGGAGGGTCGGAGGGAGATGCAAGAGGGAGGAGATATGGGGATATATGTATATGTATAGCTGATTCACTTTGTTTTAAAGCAGAAACTAACACACCATTGTAAAGCAATTATATTCCAATAAAGATGTTAAAAAAAAAAAAGAGAGAGTTATATATATATATTGGCACTCTCCTCAAGATAGGTAAGTGTTGGGACCCAGAAAAGAATCCCAAACCTCAGCAACAGAAAATTATAGACCTTCCCCCCTAGAACCAGCTCACTTCTGAGGCTTAGCTGTCAGCCACCTACAACTTTCACATTCCCTAGGTAAAGCTTATAAACTCCCAGGAAACAGAAATTTGATTGGCCCAGTTTAAGGTGAGATATCTAATGATTGACCAATCAATGATGGTCAAAGCCCAAGGTCAAGCTGCTGGAGGTGAGGAATCAGTTACAGAGAAGGAGGAGTCACTGTGGGGAAGGAAGGAACAACCCTATCATTGCCCACTACAAGGAATGGAATGGAAAGGACAAATTACAATTGCTTGGAATCAGTATTAAAGGAGGAGGCTTCCAGTATAGTATTTTTTTAAAGGGCCATGCAGGACTGCAGCCTAGGAAGAGAAATAAAGTGAGAGAAACTATACAGCCGGAGGAGCAGCTGGCCTGCACTGTCAAATAGGGGTCTTGGTTGAATGCAGCGCAAGTTAATGCTGCCTGACTTGCACAGATGGGAATTCATTGGAAGGTTATTAGCAGCTCAGAGACCTGGCTAAAGGCTGGGGGGCCAGGCTTAGAAAAACTCAGGAGTGAGGGGAGATCCAGAGGGCTAGGCAGCAAGGACCTTAGCGAGGGTTTGTGGCAGAAACTGGTGAGCGCACCACCATCAGAATAAATGAGCTCTAACCAGCCCTTCCATCCTTGAGTCACTTGCCCAAGAGTCAGTCATGGGAGAGAGTATCTGATTGGCTGACTTTAGGTCACATTGGTCCATGGGTGGGGGGGGGTGGCAAACAAAGAAAAGGGTGTGTCTTCATCTTTCATGGTGGAAGGTGGCTAACGGGATCCACCTCTCCAAAAGAGGACACAAAATGAGCAGAGGACTTTCCCAAAAGGAAACTGAGGACCTCATAGAAGAAGGGAACAAACACTGGGCAGGCGAAAATGACCAATGTCCAACAGTAGTTAAAATGACAATAGAATCATAAGGTAGAAAGGGCCCTCCAGAGGAAATCTGCTTTGGTACAAAACCCAGGGCTGGACAACTCAGAGCTGAGTCGATCTGATCCTGACTCTGAGAGCATCACTTGGTCTTCCCTTTCCAAACCTTTCATGCTTCATTCAATCAGTTATCTCTTTTGGACTTCCCTGGCGGAGCAGTGGTTAAGAATCTGCCTGCCAATGCAGAGGACACGGGTTTGAGCCCTGGTCCAGGAAGATCCCACATGCCGCGGAGCAACTAAGCCCATGCGCCACAGCTACTGAGCCTGCACTCTAGAGCCCGCGAGCCACAACTCCTGAGCCCGCAAGCCACAACTACTGAGGCCTGTGTGCCTAGAGCCCATGCTCCACAACAAGAGAAGCCACCGCAATAAGAAGTCTGGGCACCGCAACAAAGGGTAGCCCCCGCTCACCACAACTAGAGAAAACCCACGCACAGCAATTAAGATCCAATGTAGCCAAAAATTAATTAATTAAAAACTCAGTTATCTCTTTGGCCAATCATTCAACAAATTTTTTTTCTGGGCATCATTCTAGGTATTGCAAATACAATGAT